ATTTTTAGATTCACTTGTTGATAGATATGTATTTGCTGTTCATAATTTTTATCTTTACCTTTTTCTTCTTCCACTTCTTAAAGAATACCTTTCAGCATTTCATATAATACTGGTTTGGTGGTGATGAACTCCTTTAGCTTTTTCTTATCTGTGAAGCTCTTTATCTGGCCTTCAATTCTGAATGATAGCTTTGCTGGATAAAGTAATCTTGGTTGTAGGTTCTTGGCATTCATCACTTTGAATATTTCTTGCCACTCCCTTCTGGCCAGCATAGTTTCTGTTGAGAAATCAGCTGATGGTCATATGGGTACTCCCTTGTAGGTAACTGACTGTTTTTCTCTTGCTGCTTTTAAGATTCTCTCTTTGTCTTTTGCTCTTGGCATTTTAATTATGATGTGTCTTGGTGTGGTCCTCTTTGGATTCCTTTTGTTTGGGGTTCTCTGTGCATCCTGGACTTGGAAGTCTATCTCTTTCACCAGGTAGGGGAAGTTTTCTGTCATTATTTCTTCAAATAGGTTTTCAGTATCTTGCTCTCTCTCTTCTTCTGGCACCCCTATAATTCAGATGTTGGTACACTTGAAGTTGTCCCAGAAGCTCTTTACACTATCTTCATATTTTTGGATTCTTTTTTCTTTTTGCTTTTCTGGTTGGGTGTTTTTTGCTTCTTCGTATTTCAAATCGTTGACTTGATTCTTGGGATCCTCTTGTCTGCTGTTGGATCTCTGTATATTATTCTTTATTTCAGTCAGTGTATGCTTAATTTCTAGTTGGTCTTTTTTCATATCCTCCAGGGTCTCACTAAATTTATCAGCGATTTCTAGAAAATTTTTGAAAAACCTTATAACCATGGTTTTGAACTCTATATCCAGTAGTTTGCTTTCCTCCATTTCTGTCATTTGTGACCTGTTTGTCTCCGCATTTTTTATGCTTCCCTGTGTTGGTAAAGTGGCTTTGTGTGCTAGGTGTCCTATAGGGCCCAGTGGCTCAGCCTCCCCAGTTACCTGAGGTGAACACCCTTGGTGCACCCCTTTGTGGGCTTTGTGCGCAGTCTTGTTGTAGTTAAGCCTTGATTGTTGTAGGATCACTGGGAGGAATTGGCCTCCAGGCCAATTGTCTGTGAGAATCAGCTGTGTCTATGGTGGGAGAACTTCTGTGCTGAAGACACCCTTATGGGGCAAGACTTGCTTCAGTGGGGCTTTGGTGCTCACTGAGTCTGCCCCCTGAGTGTGTCCCTTATGGATCTGAGGAGTTGTAATCTGGATGGTCCCACTCTGACCACTGGGTACACTGGTTCTTGGATCTAAGGAGGTGCTAATTTAGCCTCTGCCTAAGGCTACCCAGCAGGAACTATGAAGAGATCTGCAGATTCCTCTTCCTTGTTTGGGGTTTGGAGGTGCCGAGGCCCAGCTGTGAAGCAATGCAAGCTGCTGTGGGGCCTTGGGCCTTCTCTTGGAAGTTCTGGGTCTGTCTGTCCAGGCTGCAGTTTGTTAGGTAATTTTCAGATTCTAAAGGGCCATGGCATTCATATGCAAAAGCCTCTGTAGCAGCTTGGGTGGGGTGGGGTCTCAGGGAATCAACAGGGCAGAGCAAACAGCTATGGCTGATCCTCAGCCCTGCCTTAAGAGGCCCCGTGTCTCAGTGTCCTTGCTGCAAGCACCTCTGAGAGAAAGCCGCCCTCGAGTTCCGCCCGCTGCCAGACAGTCCAGTTTTCCACGTATGAGTCTGGGTCCCCAGAGACTTCCCCGAACTGGAGTTCAGAGCAGTCGGGGGCTGGTGACTCCCTCCCAATTCAAAAAGACAGCCGAGTCCTCAGTTGCCAGCCCTTGCTGCGTGCGCCTCTGTACCTCTGCACTTTACTTACGCACCTCCTGAGTCTCAGTGTGCTTTTCTCCTTCCTTCTAGTTGTAGAATTTCCACTCAGCCAGCCTTCCTATAGTTCTGGATGATGTCTTTTAGTTGTATTTTTGAAGTTGTTGTGGGAGGCAGCAATTTCCGGTGTTTACCTATGCCACCATCATCCCTATTTGCCCATTTTTTAATTGGGTGTTTGTCTTCTTGGTGTTGAGTAGTATAAGTGCTTTATATATTTTGGAAATTAACCCCTTATCATATATATCATTGGTGACTATGTTCTCCCCTCCAGTGGGCTGCTTTTTTATTTTGTCGATATTTTCCTTTCCTGTGTGAAGACTTTTTACATTGATGTAGTCCCAATGCTTGGGCAAGATATCTTGCCCAAGAAGATATACTTTTAAAAATATTACTAGAAGCAATGTCTGAGATTTTATTGCCTATGTTTTCTCTTAGGATTTTTATGGTATTGAAACATATTTAAGTTGTTAATCCATGTTGCGTTTATTCTTGTGTACAGTTTAAGTTGAACAAAATAGAAACAGATTCATGGATACATGGAACAGATTGATAGGTGTAGAAGGGGAGGAGCGTGGGGGGCTGGATGAAAGCAGGTGAAGGAATTAAGATATATATATATATTCCTAAAAATGTATACACACACTTTTAATTAGCATTAAGGCAGGGTTTATTAAAATACATTTTATTTTAAAAATTGAGCTATCAGCTGTTAAAGTGTGTATACATTTTTTGGCAACACCCTGTATTTACTACCTGGCTCTTAACAGTAAAAGTTGGATGAATGAATGCGGTAAGGTCAAGAAAAATAACAAAAAAAGTGATAACTGGAATTGGTATTAGATTTCCAGTGATCTAGATAATGGCTTTATTTGGAGTCGTGTAAGTAGAAACTAGATTTGGTGGCAGGTTGATCAAACTTTGATTCTTGAGTCTTCAGCTTGCTAGCTGTGTGGTCTTGGGAAGTCATTTAATTTCTGTGAGCTTCTATTTGGTCATTTGTAAGTTGGAGATAAACAGAGCTACCTTCTTGAGTTACTGTAAAGATGAGCAATAATGTATGTAATTCATAAAACAAAGCATCTGATTTATAGAAGGTGCTCAATAAATTCTAGCTTTTGCTTCATTTAATCTGCTGCCATCAAAATTGCTATTCCTTTATTGGTAATGCCTTTTCACCTTTCATATTTTATTTGTCTTCTGTGTTCTCATGTTTTACAATATATGCCAAGTCTTTGCTCAAATCTCACCTCTTTAGTGAGGCCATCTGAGTTAATAATAGCCACCCTCTTTAATACTGTAATCTGTCCCCCATCCCAGCATTCCTAACTCTTTTACCCTGTTCTATTTTTCCTTTTCTCACAGAACTTATTATTTCTGGCAATCGCATAAAATATGGCAAGGATTAATCTCAAATTTTTAATGAAGATCTCATTCAAATTCATATGTAAAACAAAGCTATACACAGAAAATTTACATCAGAGAATATACAGATGGTTTATGGACACAAGGAAAGACATTAAACTTGATAGTAAAGATTTAGAAGTATAACAACCTTGAGGTAACTTTGTACCAAGGAATTTAGAAGTGGAAAACTGTTAAAATTCGGTGTTAGGTTGTATATTTGGATGGCACTGTAAATTTGCACACTTTGGAAAGCAACATTATTAATAGCCACTAAAATTTTTATCTTTTAACTCAAGATTTCCATTATAGAAAAATTAGCCAAAGAAAATAATTGAACAAATGTGAAAAGACAACACACAAAGATACTCTTTACAATATCATTTTTATAGTAAAGCTTAGAACCTTTGTATTGTCCATTTGAAGGGCAATTACTTTGGCTAAGGCATCCATAAGGATGGAATTCCATGTTACCAGTCAATGTTAAAATGATGAAGATTATGAAGCATCTGTGGACACAAAAGGGGCCACATACTAAACCTGAGAAGCTCAGTGGAGGCCTGCATGGAAGGCCTTACAAACTCGGAGACCTAAAGTAACCACATAGGATGGTCTGAAATAAAACTGCCTAACTGAAAGCGAGTCATGGCAGTTGGTCATGTCCTAGGCTGGTATCTTCTTTGACAGAGTTCAATCTTTACCTTAACTGAGCCTGTCTATTGTCTTTTAGAATCTATGATAACATACCATTGGAATAGCAGGGTAATTTCCTTTTTCCAGACCCCTCAAGGCACACTCCCACCAGAGCAGGAGACCACAGAGTCCCTTATTATTATTGTTATCGTGTTTATTGTTAACTATCCTATACCCACCAATGTAAAAGAAGTATGTGTTTATTCGTTTTACTTTTAATCCAGTCCCAGAAATGTTCCCGCTTTGCTTTCTCCTGCCTCCCTAATCTATCACCAATGGATTTCATGTAACCCTCTTAGTTCTTCTCTGATTCTAATGTATAAAATAAGGTGCAAAACTGCCATTCTCTGGAGCGTTTCTCAATCCATTGAGACGTTGCCTCCCGGCAACTGTCAACAATTTGGCTCAAACTATAAACATTCTTACAGGTTGAGACAGCATAAACACATGTTTATGTCGTGCTATTTGAAAAACAGAATTTAAAATTGAATGCATATAGTGAGCATCATTGAATAAATATACACGACCTTATTAAGTTCTCAGACTGTCTTTTAGATGATTTAGCTCCACAATTACTGAAGAAACAAAAACGTAACTACTTCCTACATGTTCATACTTTCAATAAGTAATAGGCCTCAAACGTGTTGCAGCACCCACCTATCTTTCTATTTGCATAAGATCCAATTAATCATCTTTTTGTGCTTACGTGCTTGCTCTTCCAACCACATCCAGCTTCATATATTCAGAGAATTGGCAGCACTACGCAAAAAAGGAATTAGCTTCTGAGAGCTTGTGGGATCACAGGTTTGTCTTTCTCACCTTTCACACTTGTATTTCAAACCCGTATACTTATTTTACAATGTCCAAATTGAAAATGCAATAACGATAAAGGTTCGATTCCCTCTATCTTCACCCAGAAAACCTGGGAAACTCCAGATCTGGGGACAGATGACAATCCGGCCACCTGGAGAGGAGGCGGGTGTCGCAGAAAACACGCAAGCCCGCCGCGCTGCTTTACGGCACTCGCTCCGCCCCCTCCGGGTGCCGGAGGCTGAAGCCGGCAAACATGGCCGCCACCTCCTATTGTAGCCGGGCTGTGGCTCCCCTGGCAGGGTTGCTGCTCTTGTCCTTCGGCAGCTTGGCCACTAGTCAGATCGAGGTAGGAGTCAGGCCCTCCGAGCGACCGGGCCCTGGGAGGACAGCGTGGTCGGGGCCGCGAGCGCCCAGCCGATGTCCGATACACAGAAGCCGAGGGAAGCCTCCCCGAGTCCTTCGCCTCTTACTGGGCTCCCTGGGATGTGGGAGAGTGTCACGGGGCAGGGCTTTCTCAGTCTGTTGCAGCCTTTTAAACCGACGAATTAAAAGAATCAAATTCTGGGAGAGGGGCGAGCACCCGATCCTCTGCGCCCGGTGTGCACGCCCTGCGGCTGAAAGGCGAGCAGAGCGCAGCCCTTTCCTGCTGCTGAACTACCGCGCGCCGCGGCCGGGAGTCGGGTGGGTGCGGTGTTTGGGTTTTGGCTCGCAGGACGTTCTGGCCTCGCGTAAAGCTCTCACTGTGCCCCGCACTCTGATAAGAAACACCGCGCCCCTCTCTTCAGTCTAGATCCCTTCTAGCACCGTCTTCAGGGGCCCGTGCAGTCAGCAGGCATTTGAAGGTCTGTGTCCCAGCCGTGTCTTCTCTCTGCCCCATTTCCCTAGGGGCTGCTCCTAGGCGGGAAGCCTGGGGCTTTAAACAACAAGCACCTCTCTTTATCGCACTTTTTAATCAAAACTAAGTTCTGTGTTCTGAGCTTCTAAAGTTGCTTTTACCACTGGTTTAATGCAGGCCTGGTAATTTCTTGCCGAGACCAGTGCAATTACTGCAATTACTTTATCTCGTTTCCCCCCAGGCTTCCAAACTCCCCTCACTTTGAGTTGCTAAGTTAGTCTTTATAAAATGTAAACCTGATCAGGTTATCCTTCTGATTGAATCTTTCCCACTGCATGCCGAATAAAGTTAGCATCATGCTTTGGCCTCTGTCTAGTTTTCAGCTTTCATATTGGAACCCATTCTGCCCATCACCTCAGTACATTGAATTTAGATCAGTGGACTGCAAACTTTAAACGGATATTGAACATGCACTCCCTCTCTCTCTTCTCTCTCTCTCTCTCTCTCTATATATATATATATACTCATGAACTACTGCTAATTTATATATTCAACATTTATAAAGCATATTTTTGAGGGAATATGAATATGAATAGGAGTTCTATTTTCCTCCTTTACTCTAGTGAATTATCTTGTACACTTCAGTTTGGATGCCATTACTCTTTTTTCCTTTTGATTGTTACTGTGCTTTTTCACATTACCATGTTTTATACTGCCTGATTCTTTTGTCCCTTTAGTGAGATGCAGTAAAACCTTTCCCTATCCCTTTCCTTTGATATTGCCATTGTAATTTGTACATTAAGCTTGTATAGCATTCATCGATTATAACTCATGCATGCTTTGTATTATCTATTATTCCATCATTTTTCACTTGGAGTATGGCTCCCTAACTAGTCTGCATCAAGTCATTCTTTCTTCCCTTCAGTCTATTCTCCAAGCTACAGCCAGAGTAACTTTTAAAAATGCAAATCTGATCATGTAACCCATGTACACCTTAATATTGCTCTAAGGATAAAGGACAAAATCTCTATATGACCCCATAAACAAAGCCCTGCATACTTTGGCCCCTACCCACACCCCTAGTTCTCTCTCTCTTTCAAACTTTTAGTTGTGCTAATCTTTTTCAGTTTCTCAACACCTTTAAGCCCCACCTGCCATTAGGGCCCATATTTCCTTTGTCTGGAGCTATCTTTCCTCTTTTCATCTTTTGGATCCTAACCCAAATGTCACTTCTCTAGGGAAACCTTCCCTAAACCTTCCCTCTCCACACCATACCCCCCAGATTAGGTCATTTCCCCCTCTTATACTCTTTCATGATACTGTGTATCTTACCTTGGTAGAATTTATAGGTTATCATCTGCTTAATATGTCTAGCAAATTGGATAGTAACCTCTTTGGAGGCAAGTACTCTGATTGTTTTAGCCCAACATTGTATTCTGAGCACTCAGGACAGTGACTGGCACATGGCGCCCAACGAAGTGATGAGTGAATGAATGAATGAATTAATGACATTGTAGTGTAATGTACATGCTTGTCTTCTGTATTGAACTCGGATTCTTGAGAGAAAGCAGCATGCTCTGCAATGATTTTTATATCACTTTATATTACATAGTATCTGGCACATAACTGGTGCTCCACTAATCATATGTAAAATGAATGAGTAACTTTGCAATGGCTATATTGTCTGAAAAATCACAAAAGAGTTTTGCTATCTCAACTTTTTTCCTAAAGTCCCAATGCCCCCTAAAGTCCTAATGATCCAAGAATTTTGGAACTGGAAAGGACATTCAGCTCTCATTTTCTGCTTGAGGAAAATCAAATCTAAAGAGCTGAATGACTTACCCCAGTCTCGCAGGTGAGGGATATGACCTGGGCTATAAAACTCAGATCTGCGAATCCCTAAACCAGTGCTTTATGCACCATCACACATTGCTTTTTTAAAGCATCTAGGTAGCTGTTGAGAATGGTTAAAAATAAATATGTGTGTATGTCTGTGTATGCACACACACACATTTGAGTGATTTTTTTTTAAAAATATATTTTATTGATTTTTTACAGAGAAGAAGGGAGAGGGATAGAGAGTTAGAAACATCGATGAGAGAGAAACATCGATCAGCTGCCTTCTGCACACCCCCAACTGGGGATGTGCCCGCAACCAAGGTACATGCCCTGGACCGGAATCGAATCTGGAACCTTTCAGTCCGCAGGCCAACGCTCTATCCACTGAGCCAAACCGGTTAGGGCACATTTGAGTGATTTTTTAAAAACATTTCATTCTCCCTGAAATTTTCTTGCCAGTTGAAAATTAAAACAGCTATCATAAGTTATATAATTACTAGGTTCCAGTCACCATTCCTATATTCTGTGAGCCAGGTAATAACATTTTTATAGATGGGGAAACGGAGGTGCAGAGAAGTTAAACAGCTTTCCTAAGTTTATACAAATAATAAGTAATAGGACCCAGATTTGGATCCAGGCAGTTTGACTGGACTAGTAATACTGCTTGGGAGCAGCTCTGAGGTCATTATGGTTTATATTCATTATTCTTGTAGTATATAATAAAAATCATGTTCATTAGGTATCTGGATGCTGAAGTTTTTAATGTTCCATGCCAGCAAATATAATTCAGATTCACTTTAACAGATTAGTGAAGTGATACATGACAGCATGCCAGAGAATGTGCTCAATAAAATATATTGGTAAGTTCAAATGAAGTAATTGGAAGCACCCAGCGCAGAGTACGAATGAATATTGAATGAAATTTCAACAGGAAGGTTATTAATTGTTATGTTTAGAATCAAGATATGAAATAAGTCATTCACAATTGGAAGACTGAATGGAAAACTAGAAGCATATAAGGAAGAGATGACTGGGCTAAAAACAAACAGCCCCTCCCTAAAATAATGCCCCCTAACAGAAAAATAAAACTCTATTGGTCCTTCATAGGTCAAAAACTAGCATCTTTATAAACTTACATAATGATAATTTATTGTTATTATAACTGTAAAAACTCCATGGATCTTGACTGTCCTTTACCAGTCTTTACTTTGGGAAATGTGGCTTTCTTCTAATCTTTTTGCTATTATTTGACTGATAGGAACAAGCAGAGCAGTTCTTTAGAAGTGGCCACACAAACAACTGGGCTGTTTTGGTAAGTAAGTTATATGAAGGTATACCATTCTATTCACTTAGATATGTGTCTAAGAAATTTTGTGTGAATCAAAATTTTGAAAATAAAATTTATTGTATCATATTACCAATTGGTTCAGATATACATTATACTATTTCTGCTCAAGTTAGGGAACCTGTAGATTCTTTGCTCCTGATGGGTAGTGATTTTGTTTCTAGCTTTTTGGTTTTGATTTTTGCTAATACAGGCAGTGTTATAGTGGAAATCCTTGAATACATATTTTTGCATACTGATATGAGCTAAATCAAAAGATAAGTACATTTTCAAACTTGATGTATATTGCATGTTACCCTTTTAGAAGATTTAGTTTAGTTTATGTTTATTTTAGTTTAGTCAGTAGAATATGAGTATTCATTTCCCTGCACTTTTGCCAGTACTATGAATTGCCAGACTTTTTGGATACCTATCACTTTGATTTGTGTTTTTTAAATTATGATAGAAGTTGAGCATCTTTAAGAGTTTTATTGTCCATTTTTAATACTCTTGTTATGAAATGCTTGCTCTCATCCTTTGTCTATTTTTCAAAATCGGGTTATTGTGTGATGATTGTTTCAAGTTTTTCATTTCAGTTAGGATTTTATGCTATTTTTCACGTATGACGTTTTACTTTTTTATGTAGTAAAAAATTTTAGTTTTTTTCTTATTGGATTCTAAGTTGAACATTTATTTTAATAAAAAGAACTTGTAGTTCCTTTCTGTTTGCAGGGCAAGAACATTTATGCTAGCCTCAAACCTATTGTATTTACACTATTAGCAGAGGCATGTGGTAGGAGGTAGAAGGGTGCTTGATGGGTAGGTATATTACTACCTGACCCCAACCTCTGTTATCTCTTTTGGAATGCATTCTCAAGAGACCTGACTTTTGAGATATGGCATTAGATTTTTCTAGTTCTTTTGATATCATTTTTAGGAATCCTTTTTTAACATGCCAATTTGTGTCCCTTTAAAACTTGTGTTTTTTATATCAATATATAAAAATAATTGCAAAGCATTCTACAAGTAAAGTTTTTTTTTTTTTTTTAATATATTTTATTGATTTTTTACAGAGAGGAAGGGAGAGAGATAGAGAGTTAGAAACATCGATGAGAGAGAAACATCGATTAGCTGCCTCCTGCACATCTCCTACTGAAGATGTGCCCGCAACCCAGGTACATGCCCTTGACCGGAATCGAACCTGGGACCTTTCAGTCTGCAGGCCGAGGCTCTATCCACTGAGCCAAACCGGTTTCGGCCAAGTAAAGTTTTTAAATGTAAAACTAGTTTGCATTATTTCTAGTTTTCTGTTCAGTTTAACAGCTTTATACCAAACATATTCTCTTATGTACAGATAAAACTGTTTTGTATGTTATGTTTTAGTGTCTATTTTATAATTTTCACAACTAAAATTAGGAAGAAATCTAGAGTAAAAGAAATATTATATAACCCAATTCTGTGAAGGGATTATGTGCACTGTCTTTGATTTTAAAGAATTGAATCTTTTAGAAACAGGAACTTTCTAGAGTCACAGAAATTGAGGGTAACTAAGTTGGTTCACTATTTGATTGATTTTTTTTTTCTCTTAAGCTGAGTGGCCTTTTTATTTAATGCTAGTTATAAAAGACCTCTCTCTAGAGCAGCGATTCTCACAGGGGCCGCCTAAGACCATCGGAAAACACATATATAATTACATATCGTTTTTGTGATTAATCACTATGCTTTAATTATGTTCAGTTTGGAACAATGAACATACATCCTGCATATCAGATATTTACATTACGATTCATAACAGTAGCAAAATTACAGTTATGAAGTAGCAACGAAAATAATTTTATGGTTGGGGTCACCACAACATGAGGAACTGTATTAAAGGGTCGCGGCATTAGGAAGGTTGAGAACCACTGCTCTAGAGAGATTGGTTTTATTGACAATTCTTTATGTGCTTTGCTGTTTCTAAGCCTGAATTATGATATACTCTTTCTTTAGGCATCTCTATATCCTACCTAAAGAAAAATAATTCTGTACCTTTGTGGCTTATTTTGATTCATAAAAATAACATATTGGTTTTAATACTTTAGGTGTGTACATCCCGATTCTGGTTTAATTATCGACATGTTGCAAATACACTTTCTGTTTATAGAAGTGTGAAGAGGCTAGGCATTCCTGACAGGTAAGAATTCATAATAAAGAGTAACTCTGAACTTTAGTAAAAATCACTCGTAGATGATTATTACATTTGCATTTTTGTGTTGTTTTTTAAAAAGATAAGGAAATTTGAAGTTTTTTTTTTTTTTATTGTTGTTAGAACATACCACCATGTATAACTTACTTACAACCATAATGGAATATTATATAAAACATCAGTCAATACTAATGTAAAAATTGAGATAAAGTAAAATTTATTTAATCATTAAATGCCTCAGTGTGGGGTTTTGATTGCAGACAACAGAAGACAATTCTGACTGGTTGAAGTAGAAAAGGAATTTATGGAAAGCATATTGATTAGTATGTTTCCCAAATTGATGGGAAGGCTGTAGCTGTAAATAATCAGAAACAAGCAAGACTAGGTAGCAGAGAAGACATTTCTAAAAACAATGACATAAAACCAGTCCAGTGACAACAATGCAGCTATGAATTGCTGAAGTCTAGACTTAGGTAGTGCATAGCTACTACCATTGCCTTTGGAAACTTAATGTTGGTACTGCTGCCTGCTGCCAAAATCCAACCTTCACTGTCCCAGCTTCTTAGTCTCTAGCTCTTAATTTAGAGCCCTTGGAAGGATGTGAAATTGTCAGCATAGATGAAGTGCCCTTGTTAATGCTCCATGGAGGTTGGTGGGGCAAGAAAAACTATATGGCATTGTTAGCAGTTCCTTATTCCCTTTTTTGCTTCTATGGTATCCTGTGTATACTTTGATTATAATATGATTATACTAATCTAGTATGTTTCCCTTACCCTATAGTAGAAGCCAGGTGCATGAATTCGTGCACCAGTGAGGTTCCTCGGCCTGGCCTGTGGGATCGGGCTGAAACCAGCTCTCTGACATCCCCCGAGGGGTCCCAGATTGCGAGAGGGTGCAGGTCAGGCTGAGGGACCCCATCAGTGCATGATCGGGGCCGGGGAGGGACGTGGGAGGTTGGCCAGCCGGGGCGGGACCGTGGGAGGACTCCAGGGCATGTCCTCCCGTCTTGCTCAGTCCCCAACAGCTGGACTCCAGCATCAAGCTAACCTACTGGTTGGAGAGCCTTCCCCCTGGTGGTCAGTGCCCATTATAGTGACTGGTCGACCGGTCAACTGTCTGCTCCCTGGTGGTTATTGCACGTCATAGCAAGCGGTTGAGCAGCTTTAGCATATCATTAGCATATTACCTGTTGATTGGTTGAACGGATGACCAGACAACGGGACACTTAGCATATTAGGCATTTATTATATAGGATTATATAAAAGCCTAATATGCAAATTGACCAAATGGCAGAATGACTGGTGGAACAATAGGTTGCTATGACGTGCACTGACCATCATGGGGCAGATGCTCAATGCAGGAGGGAGGTGACTGGCAGTGATGGGGGCAGGGCCGGCGAGCGTGTGGTGCCAGGCCAGCCAAGGTGGATGCCAGCAAGGGGCCCCCTGATCACCCCGCCAGTCACCCCATAGATGGGCCCTGATTGCCGGTGAGGCCCAGGAACCCTACCGTGCATGAATTTCATGCACCGGGCCTCTAGTTAGATTGTGAAGTCCTTGAAGGAACAAGGATTATATTTTATTTCACTTTGTACTTCCAACATCTAGCACAGGGCCTGTCACATAATATGCTCAGTAAGTGCTGGATAAATAAACACTTGACTAGGAAATATTTTATCAGTTAGGCAAAGCAAGCACAAGTTTACACTTTAAAAGTAAAAACACTTTTATCAAAGAAATTGTGTTAGTCTACTTTTTAGCAAGTGTTAATCTGATATAAAAAACATTTTAATAAATAGGTTGCCATAATTTTATAATACTATTTCAAAATATTGACTCAGGAAAAGGGATTTCAGTGGTTATGAGTGAAAAATAAAAACACATGCTCATATGATCTTCACAATTGCCCTCCAGCCTGTTATTGTTTTATGCCCTTCGTGGAGGGCAGGTATCTTGCACTTTGTGCCATATTTTCTCCAAGATTTTTGTTATTATTTGCGTGGTTTGAGCTTCCTGAAACATTTTACTATTTTAAGGAAATTTTGGCCCTCAAATAATTGTTTTGGAATAAGTTGCTATTTCATTACCTTTAAAATGTTTAATATGCTTAAGATGAGGAAGTGATAAGGCATTATTAAGCTGGGATTAGTTTTAAAGTTAGTATGTGAAGCAAAAATTGAGCCAAAATTATTTTTGAAAGTTTCTTTCATTGGGGGTTGTTTTTTTGTCTCCTCATTTTGGCTGTTTGGGTTAGTGACTATATATTAGGTAGATCCTCTACATTTCTCAGTCTCTACTGTAGGACAGTGTTAAAGGCTGTTTCTGACAAATTAGGTCAGGCAAAGACCACCTCTGCTTACAGACTGATATGATTCTGACTTGAATTGCCCCCCAGGCAATCATCCTCTGGTATGGCAAGTTTTTTTCAACAGGGTGGGGCAGTTGCTTCTGCCTGGAGGCTAATTGTTATTTTTAATCTTTTAAGTAGCCTCAGGGCAAGGTGTTTTCCAATAGGGTGTGTCAACTGTCTTCCCCGCAGGCAAGACAAATGTCTATGTGGGAAAGATGTCCTCAGCTGTGTGAGGGAATGACTCAGCCCAGGAAACTTGGGGTGTCTGCCTTCTGAGCTCTATCCCCTGAGTCCCCAGTCCTGGCTTCTGCTCTCACAGCTCCAGTCCACTTCACCTTCTCTCTGCCGGAGCACAAGGTGGGTGGCTCCACAGGGAATTTTGTGCATTGGCCCTTTAAGAAGGTGCCTGAATTTTCAGTTGCTTTTCACAGCCAGATGTTATGTGGGTACCTTCCTCAGTCTTGGTGCTCTTTGCTGGGGGGCCCAGCTTGGGGATTAGATCCCAGAGTTCTCAGTGGCAACCCCCCCACAGCCGAGATAGCTCTCTGGGTCTTCAGTTGCTGTCTGTGGGCACCCAACCAGCCCTTTCACGCCTTCGCCCCTCCTACCAGTCTCTATGCAGTCTCCACTTTCAGTCCTCGGGTATCAGGGTTCTCTCCTGCGAGTTTTCTGTTGATTATTCAGGAATTTTTTCTGTATTTTAGTTGTAATTCCAGTTTGTTCCTGGGAGCATGTCCGTGCAGCATCTACTTACTCTGCCACCATTTTTAGTCCCCTCGAAAGTTTCTTAAATAGCACATAAAGTACAGTATAATATTGTTTTTCATCAGATGTAACACAGCCAGTTCTTCCTTCTTTGGTGGAGTCCTTGATGAAGTGGTTTACTTAGGCCTAGGGGACATGTTATATGAAAAATCTACATATCTTTAATACTAGACTTGTGATGCTCAAGCTGTGAGAAGCACATAGGAATTGAGATTGACTGAGGGAATATAGAATCACTAGAGGCCCAGTGCATGAAATTCATGCACGGGGCAGGGGGGGGGGGGTCCCTCAGCCTGACCTCTACCCTCTCTAATCTGGGACCCCTTGGAGCATGTCCAACACAGGGATCAGGCCTAAACTGGCAGTCGGACATCTCTCTCACAATCCGGGACCACTGGCCCCTAACTGCTCACCTGCCTGCTGGCCTGATCCCCATAATTGCTCTCCTCTGCAGGCCTGATTCCCCTAACTCCTCTCCCCTGCTGGCCTGATCTCCCTAACTGGTCTTCCCTGCCAGCCTGATCACCCTAACTGCTCTCCCCAGCTGGCCTGATCACCCCTAACCACCTCTGCCTTGGCCCCGCCACCTTGGCTTTGTCCAGAAGGACATCTAGAAGGTTGTCCAGAAGATGTCTGGTCTAATTAGCATATTACACTTTTATTAGTATAGATAGTTCCCATTTCATGATTACTTTGGGGAATAAACTTTGAGTATTAGGGTAGGTGAGATCTGTCTGTCTTTTTTTTTAAAGATTTACCTCTACTACAAGTTGGGTGGATGTGAGTATTTATAATGATCCCTGTCTGATAAACTATTTCTATAATTAAATCTAGTAGCTTTTTGGACTATATTTTCTTACTCTAAATTTTAATCATTTGTGAGATTAATACTTCTAATTTAAACCTCTCATTTTTCATGTTCCCTTATTCATCAACTCTAGTGTATGCAAAATAGAGTTCAAATCCCTTATGGTGGTACACAAGGTTTTTGCAGTCTGGTTCCAAATATGATATTCTAATCATTTAATTTCTGATTATTTAATTTCAATCCAGTCAATTTCTTCTTCTAAGTCCATGAATTGGCCTCTGTCATTGCCTTATATTGGTCCTTCTACCAGTCTTTCTGTCATCTCTACTTTCTAGTTTTTCTATGCCCAAATTCAATCCATGCATTTTCTAAAACTTCCTTGGTCCTTCTTGCATAAATAATACTTTATTTATATTTGTACCATGGCATCTTTTTGTATGTATTGATCTTACTTATTCTAGGCTGGTTCTGATACTATGTTTGTATTCCTCACAGTGCATTCTTTGGTATATTGTGCACAGTTGAATGAATGAATGAATGAATGAATGAATGAATGAATAGTACGCTTAAGACCCCATCTAAGTGGAACCTAGTTAGTCTCAGCTAGAGAGGAAATATTTATAAATACTGCAAGTTTGTATTCTCTAAAAATCCTGTTTCTCAAATTGTACTGAGATAAATGTGTTCTGTAGTTGATTTTATCAAACTACTAGAGGCCAGGTACATGAAATTCCTGGCCTGCACCCTCTAGCAGTCTGGGACCCCTTGGGGGATGACCGCCTGCCGGTTTTCTTCTGACTACTTTAAAAATGTTCTCTGCCTTTGTTTTTTTTGTAGTTTCCTTCTAATGCACCTAGGTATTAATTTTCTTTCTCCTCGTAGTCCTTGCAGTTTGGGACCCTTCGGGGGATGTCTGACTGCCGGCTTAGGCCCGATCTCCGGGGATTGGGTCTAAGCTGGCAGTCGGAACTCCCTCTCGCAGTCCAGGACCCCTTGCTCCTTACTGCCTGCCTGCCTGCTGCTCCTTACTGCTTGGCTTGCTGCTCCTTAGCACTGCCGTGGAGGT